GGCCCCGTTATCTGCACCTCAGTGCGCCCGGCCTCAGCCCCTCCCCCCACTCCTTGCGCTCCGGCCGCGGCGGCGGCGGCGGCGGGGCGGCGCCTCCTGAGGATCGCCCCCCAACCCCGCACCCCTCCCCAGCCTCTCGCCCCCAGCCCCTACCAGTTCGGCGGCGAGCCTGACCGGCCGTCCGAGATCGAAAAGAGAGCAGACACTGGGAAGTTTTGGGGGAGGGAGGGGCGGGCCTTAAAGGGACCACGACCTCTTTCCAGCCCGGAAAAAAAATGTAGGGGGTTGTTGGGGGTAGACCGAGAGTTGCTCCGCGTTTGAATGGAGGAGACCACGCGAAAAAGGAATGAGAAGACTCCGCGTCCCTTTTCCCTAAACCCCCTCCACACCCGCCCCCATCCTTCTCAGAAAGTCGCGCAGTTGTTTGGGAATCATACCTCATTACTCCTGGTCTGCCAAGTGTTCTGTCGGTTGAGGTAAATGTTGGGCTGCACATTGCTTAGATGGAGAAATGGGCTCAGGGGACGCAAGCGACCAACCCAGGATCCCACAGCTTGTAAGTGGAATAGCAGGATTCCTCTGCCACCAAAGACTCATAACCAATGCACTGCTGTGCCTGTTATGGTTATGGCAGCTGCAATATCCCTTGGAAGTGAGCATGGGCCGTGGGGTCAGACTGCCAGCGTTCAAATATGGAGGCTTCACCTACTAGTTCTGTGGCCTTGGAAAGTGAGTTGCCATCCTGGAGCCTGTTTCCTCATCCAGTAGGAGGTTGGTAATAGCACATTCCTCGCTGGCTGGTCTCGAGAGGTACTGAGAATGTCCAGAAGCGGAGGGGAACCCCAGGTCTATCTCTGTTTCACAGATGGGGTACAGCTGAGGACCAAAGACGGGAAAGACCGGCTGAAATTCACCAGAGCTGGGCAGCCTCTGAAAAAGCAAGTCCTTCCCTCCGTAAGCATAATCTGACCATTGTGGGCCCAACTAAATCCATCCCTAACCCTTTCTACTTGTTCTCTACCTGGCAAAAACACTGGTTTTCCTTCTGCTCATCAAATACTCAAAGCTCATTTCTGACATTGCACTGGCTGTTTGGTCTGCCTAGAATATTCTTCTCCCAGATCTTTGGTCCTCATCACACAGACTTTGGCACAAATGTCACCTGAGCAGCCCAGTCTAATTAACCCCCATATACAGTCATAATCACAGCTTACCATATATCCCCCTCTTTGCCTTATTGCCATGTGAAAATATCTAGTTGTTTAATTTCTGTCTTCTCACTAGAATCTGGGCTCTTTGGGGGCCAGAAGTGGGAATGTTTTAACCCCTCTAAAGCCCTACCCTGGGATCATTCATTCATTCAACAGATGTTTATTTGGGGCACCTGGGATAAAACGGTGACCAAGATATGGAAAAGTTCCCTCCCTCCCTCTGGGGAGTTACATTCCAGTGAAAGAGAGGCACAGTACCTAAGTAAAAAGTCATCAACAGGGAAAGAGGATGAGGAGTACACGAGGGCAGTTTGCTCTGCTCTAAAGGGTATTCAGGGGAAGCTTCACTGAGAAGGTGACATTTTAGCAAAGCTCAGAAGCAGGGAGAGTGGAGGACATGTGGATACTGGGGGAAGAGCATTCTAAGCAGAGGGAACAGCCAGTGCAAAGGCCCTGAGGTGAAATGTGCTCGGTGTGTCCCAGAAATTGCTGGAGGCCTTTGTGGCTGGAGTAGAGTGAGGGAGGGGGTAAATGGTAAGTAATGCCATCAAAAAAGGGGGAGAGGGCAGTCTGTGAGGGTCCTCATGGGTCATGGGGAGGACTTTGACTTTCATTCTAAGGCGAGGTCACAAGAGGGTTCCTGAGCAGGGGAGGACCCTGATCTGGCTCCAGTATCTATTTTATGTATAATAATTTGTATCTGCTAATCCCATACCCCTAATTTGTCTCCCCTCTTCTCTTGGGTAACCACAAATTTGAAAAACACTACCAATTTTTTAAACTGAAATATATTAATAAGATAACACATGGACATGGTGCAAACATCAGACAGCATAAAGCAACATACATGAACACTCTCCCTGCCTCCTCACCCCCTTTGCCCTCCCTAAGCCAACTACTGCTACCAATTCCCTGAGTGTCCATCCAGAGCTAACTTAGATCCATACCAGCAAAGACTTAAATACACTTTTTTTCACATTTCACACAAATATTTCTGCTTTTTGCCCTTGTTTTGAAGATCATTTTATATTCATATATAAAGAGCTGCCTCATTTTGTGTTTTTGTTCCTAAACATTTTATCGGATAATATATCTAAACCAAAGCATTGCTTTAAAATTGTAATAAAATACCCTGAGATCCCACCACTTAGCTTAACAAAGAAAACATGAACGGTCCCTCTTGAATTGCAATGCCGTCTCTGCCCTCAGACTTAACCATTCTCCTGAATTTTGTCTTTATAATGCCCTTGCTTTTTGTTATGGTTTTATGTATTTCAAAACAATCTTGTTTACTTTTCCCAGTCTGAGGCCCTAATAAAAATGGAATCATATTGTTTGTATGATATTTCTGAAACTCATCTGTGATAGTAAGAATTCATTAGTTAACTCATTGCTGTATGCTCTTTTCACAGTACAGACATACCATGATTTATTGATTCTACCAATGGTGGGCATTTGAGTGGTTCCTGAATATTTTGTTATTAAAAAAAAAAAGGCTTAGTCTCTTCTCTAGACTCCAGGGTAAAGGCTGAGTGGGATTTGGGACAGAGGTCAGCCACAACCAAAGCTGAGAAGGGCCCGTGCTGTCAGCCCACAGCTTTCCTTCCACAGAAGCCACTTCATTCCTCCATGATAATTTAGAGATACTGTGATTCCCCAGGAAGGGCCTTCTTTTATTTTATTATTTTTTTGAATTGAAGTTACAATGTGTCAGTTTCTGGTGTACAGCATAATGTCCCAGTCTTGCATATATATACATATATTCGTTTTCATGTTCTTTTTCATTAAAGCTTATTATAAGATATTGAATATACGTCCATGTGCTATACAGAAGAAATTTTTTAAATCTATTTTTATGTAGAGAGGTTATCATTTGCAAATCTCAAACTCCCAAATTTATCCCTTCCAACCCCACTTTGCTTGGTAACCATAAGATTGTTTACCAAGTCTGTGAATCTGTTTGTTTTGTAGATGAGTTCATTAGTGTTCTGTTCTTTCTTTTCTTTTCTTCTTTTTTTTTTTTTAGATTCCACATATGAGTAATATCATGATATCTTTCTTTCTCTTTCTGGCTTACTTCACTTAGAATGGCAATATCCAGGTCCATCCATGTTGCTGCAAATGGCATTATTTTATTATTTTTTTTATCACTGAGTAGTATTCCATTGTATAAATATACCACATCTTCTTTATCTAGTCATCTGTTGATGGACATTTAGGTTGCTTCCATGTCTTGGCTACTGTAAACAGTGCTCCTAAGAACACTGGGATTTATGTATCTTTTCGAATTAGAGTTCCCTCCAGATATATGCTCAGGAGTGGGACTTCTGGAAGAGCCTTTTTTTAGACTCTATTGCTGCATTGATCCCTTGTAGACTTCTCCCACTTTGATATTTTTAAACAAATGCTAGGAGGGAATACAGTAACCATCACTCCTTCTTGTGCTGGTTGTCTATTTCTTCTACTACAAAAGAAACAGCAAAAGAACAGAAAAAAGTTTCCTGAATGTGACACATTTCTCTAGTGTCCTAGCTCCCACTGGACACAGTCTGAAAGACCCAAGTCCTTTCTGACTTACTGGCTGGTCTCCCTAACCTACCTCCCTGATAAACAGCAGTGAATTAGAGCTGTGTGATTTTAAAAGTACAGAAAGGTGAAATTAGAAAACACAGTGAGACAGTTAGGAAGTTGAGAACTTCCTGACTCATTAATGTCAGTGCCTCAGCCATGGCCTAGAAACAACAACTGCACACAGTGAGTTTCACACAGTGATTTTCAAATACTTTAAAGCGAGCCTTTTCCCCCCTCTGTATTCGCACTGTAAGCATAATAATTATATTCCTATTACTGGTGCTGTTTATTTTGTAAGAAAGTGCTGGAGGTGACTGTGGGAAAAAAAGGAAAAAAAATGCTGCTTTGACTCTGCTGGTGTCGTCTTCTTGTGCACGTGGGGGAGTTTTCAGGAGTAGGATGGCTGGATACATCTTCCTTCAACATTACTGGTTAAAGCCAAATTGTTTTCCAAAGTATCTCTACTGTACGTTCCCTACCAGAAGTATATGAGAGAGTGTCATTCATGTTAATGTCTGAGTAATTTTCCTTGGATTGATATCCCATAATCTGTTTTTCGAATGGCCATTGAGGTTGCTCCCAGGCTTCTGCTACCACAAATCATGCTGCAGTGACCAACCTAGTACACACAGTATTTTCCACATATGCAAATACATCTGTGGCATAAATGCCTAGAAGTGCTTTCTCAAAGACTATGTACATTTTATTGAATTAATGGCTTTTTATTGTTATGGTTATTATTGGTTATTATTTCCTTCCTTCTTTGGGTTTCTTCTGCATTCTTTTTCAAAACTTCTTTAACCGGATGAGCTCATTAACTCAGTTTTTCTTCTTCTCCAATATGGGCATTTGAGGCTGTGAATTTCCCTCTCCACGCTGATTTAGCTGCATCCTACAGCTCTGAATGTTTTGTACTTTCTATTCTGATTTCTCTCAAACAGATAGGGTTTTAGTTATCGTTTTGTAGTTGATTGCTAAAAGAACTGCCAGTTGGTGCATTTTGCATGATGTTCGAGTTCATCAAATTACCCTCCCTTAAACACTGTAACAATTTGAGTTCCCAGCATTACTGTTTCCCCACTATTTAAAATATAAAAATATCTGTTTCCCCTCTATTTTAAAAACACTGCAAAAATTTTTTACACCTGTCAGTCTAAGGGATAAAACTGTTTGTTTGTTTTTTTTGAGGGGGGTAATTAGGTTTGTTTATTTATTTGTTTATTGGAGGTACTGAGGATTGAATCCAGGACCTTGTGCATACTAGGCCTGCACTCTACCACAGACCAAAACCTTCCCCCTGATAAAACTGGTTTTAATTTACATTTTAACATTTATTTTGTATTTGTCTTATTAAAAGTGAGACTACCATTATATATATATAATATATATATATATATATATATTTATATATGATTGTTCTTAGTGG